GTTATAGCAACGGCAAAATGTTACGATTCTACGAGCATCTGCAAATTCTATAAAGTCGAAAATCTGCGAAGAACATCCTTGTCGACGTTTAAAAAAACTCGCATAAAACCTTGAAGTTTTGATAAAATGTTGATTTTATCTGCTTTTGTGCCTCCCGCTCCTTGGAATGCATAAAAATGGAGATATTGCAAGGTATTAATGCCAGGAAATGAAACATGACTGTCGGTTGCCGAGATGGCTTAAAATACCCCCCCCCCCAAAAAAAAAAAAAAAAAAAAAGTGAAAAAAGGAAATAAGGTAATAATTTCCCTTTCAGACATCATGTATTAGTATAACAATTATGTATTAGTATATCATTATTAACTTTTGCGTTTTCATGACGGCATTTTATTCATCTTTTTTTGTTTCCTTCCCTCGCGGGTAATCACGTGACTTCTCGTTGGTTGATGACGTCACCAGGCGCCCCAATGTCTCAATGCATCAGGCTAAGGTGTGAGGTGCCAATCATCAATTTAACGCAATATTTCTTGATTTTTGTCTTTATATCAACTCGACTAGATACACAAAAAATTGTAACATACTTTAAATCGCATTAAAAACATTTCACTACATGCAATAGGCCTATCTTCTCAACAATCAATGAAGTTTCCCAAAATGGCGCTCATGCCTAAAAAAAAATAACAGTTGATCGAAGGTATTGACACTGTGGGCTTTGTGCAAGTGGGGCGAGGATTGTGGGGATGGGCCTAATAGTATTTGGGAGGAGGGGGGTGTGGTAGGCCAGTTAAAGACAAAATAGAAAAAGAAGGAAAGGAGGTTAGGGAAAAAAACTGAGTGTTACATGGTGTTTGGTGACGCATGAATAATCAGCTTTGAAACAAACAGACAATTCCGAGGTAAGGCTGCCTCTGCGTGGGTGTGCATAGTCCACTGTAAGGCTCAGTTAACATTCATCAGCTTTTGCAACTATTTCAAGATCTAGCCCAGAAGAGGAATTTTCAATTTTTTGCGCGGTAGGTTGAGAATGCTATGGTTGGAATACCTGTAGTTACCTTAGATTATTTCTTTCCGCTGTCACTAAATTTCAATTGGTTTTTACGAATTTATTTTTATTTTTTATTTATTCAATTGTTATGTTGAATTGTTAAATATTACTGGTTTTTTACTAATTTGTGAGTGTTTGGATGGCGTATTGTATGCGTGGCGAGTATGATGTCTTTACATTGTTATCCATTGCTGAGGGGGGGAAATTACTTTTAACGGTCCCTTTGAGTAGCGTAAGACATTTGGGTTGGAAATATTCCTAACGGTGAACTTAGTACAGTAGAGACACCAAGGCAGCCGTGGTAGTTTAATTTATGTGTCATGGTATTTTTAGAAGGAATGTTATAGATTTTGGATGTATATTTAAAATTAACCCGATGTTTAATATTTCATTAGTATGGATTGTGAAGGTAGTATAAATGGAGAAATTATGAATGTGTTAATTATAGTACAAGTGGTATATCATATGGATATGTCTTTAATCTTCATCATAATCTATTTAATACTTATCACAATCATAGACATACAACATTATCCAACAACAAAACACACAGCACTCCGACCAACATTAATTATATTATATTTGAGTTATAGAAGATATTTGAATTATGAATCAATATTTTATTATTATCATTAAATAGTGATATAATATGACAATAAGATATTATATAATTATATAAACTATTATGCCTTCACTACACACCACACACACATTCAACAACTCAGGACCACGACACCACAAACACATAACACTTCAGACCACACACCACACCACATACCATATACTATCTAGCGTTACAGAACATACATAAATAGCGATACACAACAACAAAACACAACAACACGTATGTAAGTTGTGTGATACTAAATTGATTTACATTCATGAAGATTATTAATATAAGTATACTTATATGTGTATGTCGAGAAGAAATTTATCTGTAAATCCTATTTTCTAATATTATAATAACAATATTATAAGATATACTCCATAAATTAAGTGAGATGTCTTAACATTCATTGATGTAATATCTCTATTTATTATATATAGAGAACTATATAGCTATTATTGATTTACGTAGTGATATATCATTATTCCTATTATATTTATCTCAATTATATATGTATCTAATATATCCTGACCTTACTTATATATATGCATATGTGCTATTTATTATATTCATTCGAGATTAACATATATACATAAATGCTAACATGTATTGCGTGTGTGTGTGTGTTGTTATGTATGTATGTAATTTCTAAGCTTATATGCATTCATATTGTCTAAATTATAATTATATACTAAGAGATAGAATAGACATCTAGCAACAATCAAGATAAGACATAGATAGATATAAAATCACTATACTAAACCATTACCGTATTAGTACTTGATAATGTAGAGCACTATATGCATTATTTAACACTGATACACCTTTCATAGTATCCATATAATACACACATATAACACACACACACACCACAATCAACTAACATACACACAATCCAACTACATACACATCTAACTCAACAACTAAACACAATAACACACTAACGTCAACATAATCAATATAACTACCACATCTAATACACACATAAACTATCATATAACCTACATACTAACAACACTAACTAACACTATAACAGCTATAGATCACACACATACAGTCTACAATCGTGAGCATCGATGTCACGAGCCTGACCAGCATCATGCTGAGCTACGCACACACACACACACACCACACAGCACACACACATATTATATGTGATGGTAGGTGGTAGTGGTGGTGGGTAATGACAAGAAAAAATAACACACGGATTGCAGTAAGGCGGGACCTCCACTTGATACTTAAGCTTCACCAGGAATATAACGCAGTCCACATAACGTTTAAAACATTCTAAGAGATTCTGTTGTCCTTGTTCCTCAGCTCCCCCACATTCTGACCCCTACGAACACAATTTCTGCCAACATTATTTACCCGATTCGAAAAACCTTGGCTGCATACTGTGGGGTACCTTTTTTTTATCTTACACGAATCAGTGAGAAATTTAGATTCGAAATTTACCGATGGTATGTCTCATTCGCATTCGTCTCACGTGTTTTGTGTAAGAAAGACATGAATGAAAATGGATATGTTTACGTAATACATGATATACTTGAACCGGTTCAATATTATATATAATATATATCTTCGTCAGAATAATGTAATCGAAAACCACAGGTCAGATACGGAATAAGTCCTACGTTTTACATTCATACCTTCAACATTTAGTACCAGTATGAATTCACCGATTCAATATGTCCACTTAATTGTATTATTGGTTATTGCGTTATATTTCAATTTTTAAACTCATGTCTGTTCTTCTAAGGCGTTGTTACTTATGTTATCATACACCAAAATTAAAGGCTATAATTATATCGCACCTTTATGAAGGCTAAGGGATATGAATATTTATTAATATTTACTTATATTAAATCATTATGTACATACACTATATCACTATTACACACTAACTTCTGTGCATACGACTATGTGTTCTATCTTACCGGTTTATGTGTGTACCATACACACCCACAGCGTACACATCAACACCAACAATCCACGATTACTCATACTAGCTAAACGTAATATAAAAAAACATATCTAGTAACACCTAGGACATATCAATTCCACACACACACCACACACTACAACAAGATTAAGGTATATTTATAAATACTTTATCGCAATTAAACTATGTTATAATCTATCACATCTAATTTATACCTGTGTTCCATACCTTTATAAACCAACAGTCATTATTTTAGAGATTACAATGAGCTTGAGAAGATACGGTTTCTCATTAATAACAATAGGAAAATAATGACTCGAAAGCGCGTATCGTCATTTCCTGCTCGATGTGGCGACTTGGCAAACCCGCGTCCCCAGGATAGCCACTACACCGCATGAATGATGTCCCTCCCCTCACTTTGTCAGATATCAAACCAGATGACTTATCAGTGACAAACTGTTTCATCTATCAAAAGCTTATTCATCTATGAGTCTCAGGCCAGATTTATTACCTATATTATCTTTCGTCGTGTTATTTCACTCCGCACCAGTACCAAACTCACATTTTATAATTAGCTGCCATGATAGGCTACTACTCTACAGTCAGGGGCCCATGTAAGGTCCAATGACTCTACAAGCGGGGCCCATTTATAGCCTACTCTACAGCGGGGCCCATTATAGGCCTACTCTATACACGAGGCCCTAATTAGTTAATGGAGTCATATTATACAGCTAGGCACCTCAATGTAGGCTTTCATCTTATACAGGGCTCATATGAAGCCTACTCTTAAATAGCGGGGCCCATGTAGCCTACTCTAACAGCGGGCCCTTAGGCCTATCCTCAGCGTAGGCCCTTTTAGTAGGTCCACACTCTACAGCTTAGCCCATGTAGCCTTAACTCTACACGCCCAGTATGTATACTATCTTACAGCGGGCCTCGTTGATAGGCCTACTCTACAGCGGGGCCCATTGTAGGCCTACTCTAAAGCAGCGGGGCCCATTGTAGGCCTACTCTACAGCGGGGCCCATTGTAGGCCTACTCTACAGCGGGCTCTTTTAACACACATGGCGAGGACAGGACCAAGATTCCTTCTTCTGCCAACAGAAAGGGTAATTAAGAGCCCGCCGGTCATCTTAAGCGTATAATTGCAATTAGGATAATACAAAAATACAAATTTAGTGACATCTTGAACCACATGTAGAGCCATGTATCCAGACATCCGCAGCGGCTCCGGCTCTCGCGGCGGCTCCTCTCGAACGCGGAGGCCAAGAGGCGGTTTCGGAAGGCGTGTTCTTTGGCCTGGGGGCTGTGGCGGGGCTCGTGGGGCGGGGGTGGGGGGGGCGGGGTCGGGGGGGGCGGGGCTCGTGGGGGGCGGGGCTCGTGGGGGACACCGAAGGCCAGCGAACGGCGGGGGGGGGGGGGAAGGAAGGGGGGTCAGTGAGGGTGGTGAGAGCGAGGCCGCACCACTTCGTTGATGCGAGCGAACAGGGATTCGTCGATGATGTTGTCGCAGTCCTGCAGGAGCTCCGGGAGGCGGGGGAACTCCCTCGGGTTGGCAGGGGAAGGCGGGAGACCTGCCGGTGCTGGTTCTTGGCCCTCCTGGAGCTGCAGCTGCTGGGTTCTGGTGATGCGCTGCTGAGCGGCCGTGTAGTAGCGTCGCTGGAGGGTGATCTCGCACTTGGCGCAGTCGTGGGGCTTCTGGTACTTGCAGTAGAGTTTGTGGCCCTTCATCTCCACCACGAGGCCGTGGTTGGCGCAGAGGCGGCAGGTCTGCGCTCGCTTCCCCTTCTTCTTCTCGCCCTCCTGCTCGCCGGCGCCGCCCCACGCCTGCGCCCCGCCCGCCGAGTCCAAGGACCCTCCCGCGGCCGCATAGGAACCTTCGTCCGCGCCCTGCAGCGAGTAGCCCGACGGCCCCGGGTACTGCGGCGCCGAGTACTGGTAGGGCGCCTCGGGATCAAGGCCCGGCTGGGACACCTCGTACGTGGCGTGCTTCTGCGGCTCGTACGGGCAGAAGCCCCCCGAGTAGCCGGCCGCGTCGTGGTACTCGCCGCCGCCGAGGCTGTGGGACGGGTCGGGCTCGTACCCCGGCGCCTCCAGCAGGGGCTCGTGGCTGGCGAACCCTTCCGCGCCCTCGTCGCCCTCGCTCTCGAACTCGTATCCTGAAAAACGACCGTGAGAACTGGCGGTCTGGCAGCGCTGGCCGGGCGTCTGAGGCAAAATGTGCTCGTGTTTACATCACAGATCTTGCCCTCAAACAGTTTTTCCTGTTTGAATGAATTGCTATAAACTATATAATGTACTTAAATTTCCCATAAGCATTTTCTATATATTACACACATAGACAAATATATACATATATATATATATATATATATATATATATAATATATATATATATATATATATATATATAATATTATATATATATATATATAATATATATATATATATATATATATATATATATATATATGAGAGAGAGAGAGAAGAGAAGAAGAGAGAAGAGAGAGAGAGAGAGAGAGAGAGAGAGAGAGGAGAGAGAGAGAGAGGGAGAGAGGGAGAGGGAGAGAGAGGAGAGAGAGGAGAGAAGGGAGAGAGAGGGAAGAGAGAGAGAGGGAGAGAGAGAGAGAGAGAGAGAGAGAGAGAGAGAGGAGAGAGAGAGAGAGAGAGAGAGAGAGAGAGAGAGAGAGAGAGAGAGAGAAGAGAGAGAGAGAAGAGAGAGAGAGAGAGAGAGAGAGAGAGAGAGAGAGAGAGAGAGAGAAGAGAGAGAGAAATGTAAATATATTTTGCATAAATTCAACACCTACACACCACATCGTACTCACCGATATAGGAATAATATTAATGATGATGATGGTAACAAAAATAATGATGATGGTAATGAAAATAATGGTTATGGTAATAAAAATAATAATGCTGATGACGGCAATAATAATAATGATGATGATGGTGATAATAATGGGAATGATAGTGGTAATAATAACAATGATGATGGTAATAATAGTGACAATAATGATAAAATGAAATGATGAGATGATATGACGATGTGATGATGATTATAAGATGATGATGATAATGATGATAATGATGATGAAAATAACAATAACAATAATAATAATAATAATAATAATAATAATAATAATAATAACAATCACAACAATAACAATTATTGTCATCCCAATAACAACAAAAGCATCACCAATAATAACCGTCACTCTACATTCAAATTCCGACATTACCTCGACCTCTGTTGAAGAAGTCGGCTTTCTTCCGCGGTCCCATCGCCATGCTCAGCGCGATGTCTGCAAAAAAAGGTCCATTTTATTTTCCTTCCTCTCATAAACAAGTAAATGGGGATGATAAAAGATCTATTGGATACATATGCATGCACGAACGCACGGACGCGAACGCCTGTACGAGCCGAACGCATACAAACGGATGCACAAAAAATGCATACACGAACGAACGCATAACACAAAAATGCTTACACACGAACGCATACAAACGCGTGCACGAACGAACGCACGAACACACACAACAAAATTCAGACAAACAACGACACACACACACAAACAAAACAGAAATAATAATTAATAATAATAATAATAATAACAACAATAATACAAAAGGACAAAAAAACAAACCCTCTGCAGACGAGGCGAGACACGGGCGCGGAAATACTCAAGTTTCTAAATTTAAATGGAAGTCGGCAGGGAGTCAAGGCGTCAGGAACAGACACAACACGACGAAATATTAAGTGTCTGCAGGTGAGAGGCGTGAGGGAAGTCTCAGGGAGTCTGTGTAAATCACCTCCTTCAGGTAAAGGAGGTATGGATACGGGAGCTAAGGAGGCGGGAGAAGGAGGGGGGAGGAGGAGCGGGGAAGGGAGGCAGAGAGGGAGGAGAG